TCACATAGAGACCCATAGACACAAAAATAGACTTAGAGACTCACATAGAGACCCATAGACACAAAAATAGACTTAGAGACTCACATAGAGACTCATAGACACAAATAGAGACCTAGAGACTTACATAGAGACTCATACACGCAAATAGAGACCTAGAGACTCACATAGAGACCCATAGACACAAATAGCGACCTAGACACTCACATACAGACCCATAGACACAAATAGAGACTTAGACACTCACATAGAGACCCATAGACACAATTAGAGACCTAGACACTCACAAAGAGATCCATAGACACAAATAGAGACCTAGAGACTCACATAGATACTCATAGACACAAATAGAGACCTAGAGACTCACATAGAGACCCATAGACGCAAATAGAGACCTAGAGACTCACATAGAGACCCATAGACAAAAATACAGACCTAGAGACTCACATAGAGACCAATAGACACAAATCGAGACCAAGGCACTCACATAGAGACCCATAGACACAAATAGAGACTTAGACACTCACATAGACACCCATAGACACAAATAGAGACTTAGACACTCACATAGAGACCCATAGACACAAATTAAGACTTAGAGACTCACATAGAGACCCATAGACACAAATAGAGACCTAGACACTCACACAGAGACCCATAGACACAAATAGAGACCTAGAGACTCACATAGATACTCATAGACACAAATAGAGACCTAGAGACTCACATAGAAACTCATAGACTCAAATAGAGACCTAGACACTCACATAGAGACCCATAGACACAAATAGAGACTTAGACACTCACATAGAGACCCATAGACACAAATTAAGACTTAGAGACTCACGTAGAGACCCATAGACACAAATAGAGGTCTAGACACTCACACAGAGACCCATAGACACAAATAGAGACCTAGAGACTCACATAGATACTCATAGACACAAATAGAGACCTAGAGACTCAAATAGAAACTCATAGACTCAAATAGAGACCTAGACACTCACATAGAGACTCATACACACAAATAGAGACCTAGAGACGCACATAGAGACCCATAGACACAAATAGAGACCTAGATACTCATATAGAGACCCATAGACACAAATAGAGACCTAGACACTCACATAGAGACTCATAGACACAAATAGAGACCTAGACACTCACAAAGAGACCCAAAGACACAAATGGAGATGTAGAGACTCACGTAGAGACCCATAGACACAAATAGAGACTTATACACTCACATAGAGACTCATAAATAAAAATAGAGACCTAGACACTCACATAGAGACCCATAGACACAAAATAGACTTAAAGACTCACATAGAGACTCATAGACACAAATAGAGACCTAGAGACTCACATAGAGACTCATACACGCAAATAGAGACCTAGAGACTCACATAGAGACCCATAGACACAAATAGCGACCTAGACACTCACATAGAGACCCATAGACACAAATAGACACCTAGAGACTCACATAGAGACCCATAGACACAAATGGAGACCTAGACACTCACATAGAGACCCATAGACACAAATAGAGACTTAGACACTAACATAGAGACCCATAGACACAATTAGAGACCTAGACACTCACAAAGAGACCCATAGACACAAATAGAGACCTAGAGACTCACATAGATACTCATAGACACAAATAGAGACCTAGAGACTCACATAGAGACCCATAGACACAAATAGAGACTTAGACACTCACATAGAGACCCATAGACACATATAGAGACCTAGACAATCACATAGTGACCCATAGACACAAATAGAGGCCTAGACACTCACATAGAGACCTATAGACACAAATACAGACCTAGACACTCACATAGAGACCCATAGACACAAATAGAGACCTAGAGACTCACATAGATACTCATAGACACAAATAGAGACCTAGAGACTCACATAGAAACTCATAGACTCAAATAGAGACCTAGACACTCACATAGAGACCCATAGACACAAATAGAGACTTAGACACTCACATAGAGACCCATAGACACAAATTAAGACTTAGAGACTCACGTAGAGACCCATAGACACAAATAGAGACCTAGACACTCACACAGAGACCCATAGACACAAATAGAGACCTAGAGACTCACATAGATACTCATAGACACAAATAGAGACCTAGAGACTCACATGAGACCCATAGACACAAATAGAGACTTTTTACACTCACTTAAAAACCCATAGACACAAATAGAGACTTAGACACTCACATAGAGACCCATAGACACATATAGAAACTTAGACACTCACATAGAGACCCATAGACACAAAAATAGACTTAGAGACTCACATAGAGACTCATAGACACAAATAGAGACCTAGAGACTTACATAGAGACTCATACACGCAAATAGAGACCTAGAGACTCACATAGAGACCCATAGACACAAATAGCGACCTAGACACTCACATAGAGACCCATAGACACAAATAGAGACATAGAGACTCACATAGAGATCCATAGACACAAATAGAGACCTAGACACTCACATAGAGACCCATAGACACAAATAGAGACTTAGACACTCACATAGAGACCCATAGACACAATTAGAGACCTAGACACTCACAAAGAGACCCATAGACACAAATAGAGACCTAGAGACTCACATAGATACTCATAGACACAAATAGAGACCTAGAGACTCACATAGAGACCCATAGACACAAATAGAGACTTAGACACTCACATAGAGACCCATAGACACATATAGAGACCTAGACAATCACATAGAGACCCATAGACACAAATAGAGGCCTAGACGCTCACATAGAGACCTATAGACACAAATACAGACCTAGACACTCACATAGAGACCCATAGACACAAATAGAGACCTAGAGACTCACATAGAAACTCATAGACTCAAATAGAGACCTAGACACTCACATAGAGACCCATAGACACAAATAAAGACTTAGACACTCACATAGAGACCCATAGACACAAATTAAGACTTAGAGACTCACATAGAGACCCATAGACACAAATAGAGACCTAGACACTCACACAGAGACCCATAGACACAAATAGAGACCTAGAGACTCACATAGATACTCATAGACACAAATAGAGACCTAGAGACTCACATAGAAACTCATAGACTCAAATAGAGACCTAGACACTCACATAGAGACCCATAGACACAAATAGAGACTTAGACACGCACATAGAGACCCATAGACACAAATTAAGACTTAGAGACTCACGTAGAGACCCATAGACACAAATAGAGACCTAGACACTCACACAGAGACCCATAGACACAAATAGAGACCTAGAGACTCACATAGATACTCATAGACACAAATAGAGACCTAGAGACTCACATGAGACCCATAGACACAAATAGAGACTTAGACACTCACTTAGAAACCCATAGACACAAATAGAGACTTAGACACTCACATAGAGACCCATAGACACATATAGAGACTTAGACACTCACATAGAGACCCATAGACACATATAGAGACTTAGACACTCACATAGAGACCCATAGACACAAATAGAGACCTATACACTCAGATAGAGACCCATAGACACAAATAGAGACCTAGACACTCACAGAAAGACCCATAGACACAAATAGAGACCTAGACACTCACACAGAGACCCATAGACACAAATAGAGTCCTTAACACTCACATAGAGACTCATAGACACAATTGGTGACCTAGACACTTACACAGAGACCCATACTCACAAATAGAGACCTAGAGACTCACATAGAGACCCATAGACGCAAATAGAGACCTAGAGACTCTCATAGAGACACATAGACAAAAATACAGACCTAGAGACTCACATAGAGACTAATAGACACAAATCGAGACCTAGACACTCACATAGAGACCCATAGACACAAATAGAGACTTAGACACTCACATAGAGACCCATAGACACAAATAGAGACCTAGACACTCACATAGAGACTCATAGACACAAATAGAGACCTAGACACTCACACAGACCCATAGACACAAATAGAGACCTAGAGACTCACATAGAGATCCATAGACACAAATAGACACCTAGACACTCACACAGAGACCCATAGACACAAATACAGACCTAGAGACTCACATAGAGACCCATAGACACAAATAGAGACCTAGAGACTCACATAGAGACCCATAGACACATATAGAGACTTAGACTCTCACATAGAGACCCATAGACACAAATAGAGACCTATACACTCACATAGAGACCCATAGACACAAATAGAGACCTAGACACTCACAGAGAGACCCATAGACACAAATAGAGACCTAGACACTCACACAGAGACCCATAGACACAAATAGAGTCCTAAACACTCACATAGAGACTCATAGACACAAATGGTGACCTAGACACTTACACAGAGACCCATACTCACAAATAGAGACCTAGAGACTCACATAGAGACCCATAGACGCAAATAGAGACCTAGAGACTCACATAGAGACCCATAGACAAAAATACAGACCTAGAGACTCACATAGAGACCAATAGACACAAATCTAGACCTAGACACTCACATAGAGACCCATATACACAAATAGAGACTTAGACACTCACATAGAGACCCATAGACATAAATAGAGACCTAGACACTCACATAGAGACTCATAGACACAAATAGAGACCTAGACACTCACACAGACCCATAGACACAAATAGAGACCTAGACACTCACATAGAGACCCATATATACAAATAGAGACCTAGAGACTCACATAGAGACTCATAGACACAGTTAGAGACCTAGACACTCACATAGAGACCCATAGACACAAATAGAGACCTAGAGACTCGCATAGAGACCCATAGACACAAATAGAGACCTAGAGACTCACATAGAGACTCATAGACACAAATAGAGACCTAGACACTCACACAGAGACCCATAGACACAAATAGAGACCTAGAGACACATAGAGACCCATAGACAAAGAGAGGCTCACAGACATGGACCCACCCGTTGTTATTGTCCTCACTGCGTGGATGGATGCGGGGGTGTGGCGTTGGGGAGTCGAGCCTCCTGCGTGGCGCGCCGCGAGGGTGCAGTGTGGGCGGCTGATGCGACACGGGCGAAGGCCTCGGAGTGGGGCCCGGGGAGGGGCTTTGAGAGGGGGGGGGTTTGTCGATGTCCACGTCCCAGGGTGGAGGGGCTGGGTTCGCGAGGGAACGGGCGGGGGGGGGGGATCATAAAAATCAGTGTTGCTCCCATCATCACCAGCATTGTGATCATCATCGGCTTTGCTCAATCCACTGCTGGCTGGATGAAGGCGTCCCCAAGCCGCCATCAACCTCCCGCTGAGCTCCGGTATGAAGATCCACGAAGGTTGATCTCAGTATCATCATCATCGCTCCATCTCCACCATGGACCGTCCTATCTCTGTCGCGTTCCAGCCTTTGGCTGCCTCTCCGTTCTCAGTCTCGACCGCCGATTCATCGTCGTCCCTTCCGGCCGTGACGCACCCAGCCCGAGCCGCACGCTCCTCCTCACTTCACCCGTGGCATCTCGCTCCACGCGTTGTTGCGTGCAGGCGAGGCCACGTGGCGGGAGGGGGGTTTTCATCCCGTGGCTCTTGTCGTTCACCCCTCCACCACCCGACACAGATTGATTGTCACGCTTATACGGGAGGGATTCAGAGTGTAGGTTTCCACATGAAAGTCACGTGATTTACGGGAGGCTTCGACTGGTTTCGACAAAAGGGAGATGCACAAGAGGTTTGTTGCCTCAAATAAACTCCTATAGCTGGCCTGGGGAACCTGGCAGGCGGCCACGCATCGGCACACGCGCGCCACGGCGTCAGCCAACAGCATCGCGAGTGCGGCGCGCGGGACGCCCCGAGTCACTGCATCCACCCACTGCGCGCATTTCCTCGGGAAAGTGTTCACGGAGGAGCCTCGATCCAGGAGGGTCCTGCCAAGATTTCGCTCATCGGGGGCATGGGGGGGGGTATGGGGGGGGGGGTGACGACTGCTATGCAGATTCCGACCGAGTAAATCGGCGATTGTCATTTTTTTTAAATTTGGGCAAAATGTGTACCGTGACCGGAGGAGAGATCGCTCCCACTGACAGGGCGTGTGAGTGTGCGCGGCGCGCTAGTGGAGCAGCGCTGCAGGTGGCTCGCGGTGGCTATGCTGCACGTGGCTGCCTGTCCTTCAGGGCTGTAGGGGAGGGAGGGCTGGTGGATCACCGCACACACAGATGTTGCGTCGAAGAGCAGCCGAACCCTGGCTCGCCAGCAAATGGCGGTATAGCAAAGTGTGGACTAACCTCCATCTGTCCCTTCTGTACGGGACAGAGCGTTGCCCCCTCGCTCGTACCCGTGGGTTTTCTCCGGGTGCTCCGGTTTCCTCACACGCGCATTAACGCTCACGAAGTGTCTGAAGGAACATGTGGAATTGGACCCCCCTGGTCACCATTTTCATCTCTGCAGTTGCTCACCTCATGGGGAATCATATAATCGCTTCTCAGCATCTACTCTGGTGATGTTCAACTTCACATATCCTACCGTCAGTTATTCCTGGTCTTACCGCCTGCTCTCTCTCTCTGTCCAACATTGGTTCTGGAAAAAAATACCTGCTGTTGAATGCATCTCAACCAACCCCACCGCCTTTGCTCCTAAACCAACTCCACCGGCTTCGTTCCACCTCGCAACCTTACAGAGCACCATAGACTCGCACAGAGACCCATAGACTCGCACAGAGATCCATAGACTCGCACATAGACCCATAGACTCACACAGAGATCCATAGACTCGCACAGAGACCCATAGACTCACACAGAGCACCATAGACTCGCACATAGACTCATAGACTCGCACATAGACCCATAGACTCACACAGAGATCCATAGACTCACACAGAGGCCCACAGACTCACGCGGAGACAGACCCACAGATTCACGCGGAGACAAACCCACAGACTCACGCGGAGACAGACCCACAGACTCACGCGGAGACAGACCCACAGATTCACGCGGAGACAGACCCACAGACTCACGCGGAGACAGACCCACAGACTCACGCGGAGATAGACCCACAGATTCACGCGGAGACAGACCCACAGACTCACGCGGAGACAGACCCACAGACTCACGCGGAGACAGACCCACAGACTCACGCGGAGACAAACCCACAGACTCACGCAAAGACAGACCCACAGACTCACGCGGAGACAGACCCACAGACTCACGCGGAGACAGACCCAGAGACTCACGCGCAGACAGACCCACAGACTCACGCGGAGAGAGACCCACAGATTCACGCGGAGACAGACCCACAGACTCACGCGGAGACCGACCCACAGACTCACGCGGAGACAGACCACAGACTCACGCGGAGACAAACCCACAGACTCACGCAGAGACAGACCCACAGACTCACGCGGAGACAACCCCACAGACTCACGCAGAGACAGACCCACAGACTCACGCGGAGACAAACTTACAGACTCACGCAGAGACAGACCCACAGACTCACGCGGAGACAAACCCACAGACTCAGGCGGAGACAGACCCACAGACTCACGCGGAGCAGGACCCACAGACTCACGCGGAGACAGACCCAGAGACTCACGCGCAGACAGACCCACAGACTCACGCGGAGAGAGGCCCACAGACTCACGAGGAGACAGACCCACAGACTCACGCGGAGACAGACCCACAGACTCACGTGGAGACAGACCCACAGACTCAGGCAGAGACAACCACAGACTCACGCAGAGACAGACCCACAGACTCAGGCGGAGACAGACCCACAGACTCACGCGGAGACAGACTGACTTCAGAGGCCCCACAGTTCGTGTGCCCTATGAGACGCGCTGCTATGAGACGCGCTAATATGAGCCGCGCCGTGCGTCGAGTCGCTCACTTGGCTGCTGGAGGCGCGAGGCGAGGCGCCTGAAGAAGGCGGAGCACGCGCGGCGGAACGAGCGCCGGGGCCCCGCGCCGCCGCGCCGCCCGGGGCCGCCGCTCCCCACGTTGTCCATCGGCAGCACCGCCTCGCACCCCCCACGCCCCCCCCGCGCGCCTCCTCGATCTCTCGACCCTCTCGACTCTGCAGCGGCGGCGGCGGAGAGACCCGGGTGTGTTCACGGGAGGGGGCGGAGATAGGGGGGGGGGGGTGAGGGGCAACGAGGCTGTATTTCGGTGAAAAAGAAAATTATTGGTGGATTGGTGAGAGAGTGGATGGAAAGGGACCGAGAGATCCCAGGGAAATTGAGAGAGTGTTGGGTGTAGACGGGTACAAACGAATGGATGGATGGAAATGGGTAGAGATGGATGCGAGTGCTGGACGGAGGGAGCCAATGGAGAGAGAGCGAGTGGTTGAGAGTCCTGGAGGGATGGATGGAGAGGGGTGGATGGAGGAGCGGGAGGGAGGGTGGGGGACGAGTGGGGAGAGAGGTGGATGCAGCGGATGGGGGAGGCAGTGGCTGGAAAGGGGTTGAAACAGGAGGTGGATGGTGCGAGGTGGATGGAGGTAGAGAGAGAGTCCTTGGGTGGATGTGGAGAATCTGGGAGGCAGGCGGGGGCCGTGGAGGAGGAAGCGAACTCTCGGCTGGAGGCAGCGATAGGGCGGCGCGCATTGCCCAGCTCGGCGCGGTCTCCGCTATCGGAACTCCATCTCGGAAAATGGTACGGAGCGACGACCGCACACGGGTACAGTGGCAGTTCCACGGGCCCTGAGCCTCGAGCCACCTACGGGCGCCGAGCTCCACCGTGGTGACACCTTGCTCCACCGTGGAGACATTTGCTCCACCGTGGTGACACCTTGCTCCACCGTGGAGACAGCTTGCTCCACCGTGGAGACACCTTGCTCCACCGTGGAGACATCTTGCTACATTTTAGAGACGTTTCTCCACTATAGACATTGCTACAACGTGGAGATAACTTGCTCCATTCTAGATTTTTCTCTATCGTGGAGACGCATTGAGTCGCCTTAGTTGATCTATGTGGAGGATCTGGAGCCGAGGGGGTATGATATATATGAAAAAGGGAAATTTGTGAATGTGTGTCTGTTCAAAATGTTTAGCATACTTTCCGACATGCAACAAACTTGAAATTTAGCATGCGGGTAGCTTCCAGACTGCACGCAATGCAAAAAGTATAAAAATTGACTTTTGTATTTTTTTTTGGGGGGGGGGGGAGGCGCAATAATGGATATATTTTGCACAGCAAATGAGTGGTGACATCACATCTGCGATGTCACCCGCATGCGGCAGCGTCACGCATCCCCCCCACCCTCCGCGTAGGCCGTGTATCCCGCACAAATGCGGGGGGGGGGGTAAATAATGGATATAATATACCAGGACTAAACTATTAATTTCCGTGCGAAGAACGGGTACACCTGCTAGTAATTTATCATGGGCAGCGCGTCCGTCGCTCATTGCAGAAGTCCGCAGTTCGATTTCACCAGGCGACCCCGGTCAATACTCACAGTGCGGTATGAACCATGATCCTACTACGCGCCGTCTAACCCACTCAGGGTGGAGGTAACATATCCCGTGACGTCACTGTAAAACGTGGAGGTCACTGTGTGCCGCCGTCACGTTCCAACGTTTCGCCAAATTCTAAAAAAATATATCCACAAATGGCTCCACTGGGATCACGCGCACACAGCAGCAATCATTGCCCCCCCTCCCCCCCCCCCCACTGGCAGACGAGTGCCCACTCACAGGCCACGTTCTGAGTCGCCCTATGCGCCGCGCAGGGGCAGCTGCCGCTGGCGGTACCCCCGAGGCTTGACGAGATATAAATCATCGTCCCTCCCTACTAGCAGACTCATGCATACAGGTAGGGACATCTGCCGCTGGGGTTACCCCCTAGGCGAGACCACACAGCAGCAATCATTAACCCCCTACTAAATGGCAGCTCGCAGGGCCAGGTGCCGCTGTGCAGCACAGAGACAGCTGCCACTGGGGGTGCCCCCTTTCACGTGTGTTGAGATGAGACGTAACGATGAAGTCGCGTGAGAATTGCTCCGAGTCGCCCTGGCGTGGAGCAGAAGCGTCCATCACCTCGCGCCCCTTGTTACCACCACCACCACCGTGCATCACACAAGGAAGTGCAATGCACTGGGTTAGTGGGTCTAGGGAGAAATCCACCCCTACACTTATATAAAAGATAAAGATATCCCGTATAGCCTCAACCAGACTGTTGGGGTAAGTGCTGTTAAACAGTGGCACCTATGAAGGACGGCACACCACACGTTGCGGTGAGGTGAACAGCACCACGCCCGGCCGCCTTTGTTTCCAAAGTGCCGATGTTTGTACTGTACACCGCACCAGGTACAAGTGTTTAAGGCTGAGCTGACCTAAGGGAGGTCCGGGACCGATCCAGATAATCGTCACTGGCTCGTAGCACAGCGCGCCACCGGCTCCATACATTCCCACACACCACGGCACGCTCCGTTTCGCCGTATCATTCGGGTCCACTCATAATCGTCACATCCCGCGACTGCGTGACGCCACCGACACCCGCACGCACTCGCCTTGGCCGAGCCCACAACACCTGCAAGTCTCTCGTTCACCCGCGGTCAGTCGCGTCCTTATCACTCCTCTATCGCTCGTGCCATGGTGACTGTTCGCGTCAACTTTATACGCCGATTCCTGCCCCCATGTTGAGAGCTCAGGCTACCAGACGTCTCATGTCATCCACCCACCTCACACTCGCAATTAGTCTCTCACCCATCCACTCACCCTCACACTCACGCCCTCACCCACACATCTAACTCACTCCATCACCCACTTATTCACACTTTCAGTCTCTCACCCACCCACTCGCTCACCACTGCCACTCCCCTCCCACCGTCGCCCGTTTGCGCCTAAGATCTTACAAGAATAACCTTGCTCAATTTAAAGATGCAGCGTTGCGCTCTCATCTATTACTTTAATGGTGCTATTTATTGTTGACCGCTAGACGTGTTGGGCCTGTGCTCAGCAGCTAATTTAACGGCATTCGGAAACCAGCAGCACCTGGGCTTCATTTAGTCCAGTCTTTGTGCCGCCGGTCGACTGGACTAGGAGGCAACAGTTAGGGGTATACTGGATGTGGTGTGCCGGTTACATAAGTATTATCTGGGTCCCTGAACTGGACTGATTTAGCCTGATCCGACCAACTAGGGAGTTGCCACAGCGATGGAGTGGTCAGTGTCACACTGGACTTGAGATCCAGAGGTCACCGGTTCTATTCCAACTCCCTGTGCGGCAGGTAAACCCCTTCACCCTCCGGCCACCCCCACCTCCCCCTGTGAAAAACTGGCAAGGTGGTACAGCTGTGGCGAGTGACGCAGTTGCATACAACTTATGAGAAAACAGTTTAACATTTTATTGTTTAATGCAACTTATGAGGAAACAGTTGAACATTTTATTGTTTAATAACACAATTCACCCGGCTCAGAATGCTCTGTTTGGACGCGTCCCGGGTCTACAAAACACACAGTGCCTAAGGGTCATGTGACCTCTGTCCATGATCTGATTGGCGGTTGCCAACCCAGTTTGGGCGCAGGTCCAGTTCAGCTCAGTTCGACGGCCCAGAGTCAGGTCCGAGCTGCTGCTCTGGGTAAGGTGAGTCAAGCTCAGCTTCGGCTGGGTCCGGTCTGGTTCGGGTTGGGATGGTTCCAGTCCAGGTTGGAATGGGCCCGGGTTGGGATGGGTCCGGTCCGGGTTTGGCTGGATCCAGTCCAGGTTGGGATCGGTCCGGTCCGGGTTGGGATGAGTCTGGTCCGGGTTTGGCTCGGTCTGGTCCGGGTTTGGATTTGTCCAGTCTGGTCCACGTTGGAATGGATCCGGTCCAGGTTGGGATGAGTCCGGTCTGGGTTTGGCTGGATCCGGATTGGTCTGGGTCTAGTCCGGGTGGGGCTGGATTGCGTCGGTCTGTGCCGTGCGGGCTCACGCGCTGGCCGACCGTGGCAAGGACTGGGAGTCGCTGACGTGCAGTTTCTGTCTGCGACGACGACGGAGTGAGTGAAGGAGAGATGATGTCACCGCCCGTGAGACGCACGACATAAAACCCAACGCTGAAGGGAGAACAGCAGTGACGTGGGGAGTGCGCAACTGAACTGCGCTGAGCCAGCACAGCTCAGCAGACAGCCAGGCCGTTTTTCCACTGCAGAAGGCGAGCTGAGCTGTTGCCGGCACACACGATGTGTGAATTCAAGCGGCGCGGAGGTGACCGCGGCGCCTTCATAGTGTACCGAGTGACGTCACACACAATGCATCGTTAGCCCCTCCCCTGGCCCTGCTGGGCCCCGAACCAGATTCAGATGTCTTCCTGAGGGGCCAGCAGTGTATCATGACGATTTGGTTTTGGCTCAACTCGGCAAATAGCCGGTGGAAAACCACCACAGGGAGAACATAGAGTTTGCATGTTCTCCCCGTGGTGGTGTGGATTTTTCTCTGGGTCCTCCGGTTTTTCCCTACACATTTATAAACATGCGTTTAGAGTATTTGACTGCTATACATTTCCACATGATAAGACACTTTTTTGAGCGATCATTTGTGGCCAGGTCGCTTCTGAAAAAGAGCTATATAAGCTCAGTGGGCCTTACCTGGTAATTTTTTTTTTTTACGAGAGACCTGCGCTAGCTCGGCTCGGCACTGGAGAAGGGGGTGACGGGGGTGCGAGAGAATAGTTCTAGGGGCTGGTGGGCTCAAGTTTGTTCAGGGTAGGGCTAGTGTTCCAGGATCGTGGACTATATAAGCACGCTCTTCACCTCTCACCGAGCCGAAGTTATAACTAATGAGAAGTCGCCCCCCACTGGTGACTCTGGGAACGGCAGGCGCAGCGACACTGGCGTGTGCCGGCGTCACAGACCAAACAAAACCTAAATTTTGATTTAAAGCTTTCGTGACTGCAGTAATTCATATTCTTAGCTCTTTCGGTAAAGTCACGTTGAAGGGAAACAATAAAATAATAAAATATATATAAAACAATAAAAATTCTCACGACGTTTCGACCATAACACAAACGGTCGTCATCAGGTGTGTCGGTCTGCATCAATTTATTTATTTTCGAGCGGCGCGTTTATTTATTTATTAAAAACGCCAGCGCCACGCCCAGCGATTTGGCAGTTTATTTAGAAGGACTAGTCCATCTATGTTCTGAAAAGAGGGGGGAGACGAAAAATTAATGTATGCTGTCTGAAAGCCACTGTAAGCGTGAACAATCAATTAAGACCTGAAATGGTTTATCAAATCTTTCCAATGATTGCTAAGCCAGAATCCATCTTCTCGGTTGAAATTGTCTCTGTGCTTGTATATGTGGATAGCCTCATGAACGAATCTCTCATGGTAGCCAGATGGCTTACAAAGAACCTCTGTCTTGGAAAAGTCAATGTTATGTGAGCCTACTGAATTATAACAATGATCTGCCACGGCCGAGGTGTAGGTCCTACCATGTTTAAGGTCTGCTTTGTGTTCACGAATGCGGTCCGAGACATGGCGTTTGGTTTCTCCAATGTAACTAAACGCCATGTCTCGGACCGCATTCGTGAACACAAAGCAGACCTTAAACACGGTAGGACCAACACCTCGGCCGTGGCAGATCATTGTTATAATTCAGTAGGCTCACATGACATTGACTTTTCCAAGACAGAGGTTCTTTGTAAGCCATCTGGCTACCATGAGAGATTCGTTCATGAGGCTATCCACATATACAAGCACAGAGACAATTTCAACCGAGAAGATGGATTCTGGCTTAGCAATCATTGGAAAGATTTGATAAACCATTTCAGGTCTTAATTGATTGTTCACGCTTACAGTGGCTTTCAGACAGCATACATAAATTTTTCGTCTCCCCCCTCTTTTCAGAACATAGATGGACTAGTTCTTCTAAATAAACTGCCAAATCGCTGCGCGTGCCGCTGACGTTTGTAATAAATAAATAAATGCACCGTTCAAAAATAAATAAATTAATGTGAACCGACACACCTGATGACGACCGTTTGTGTTATGGTCGAAACGTCGTGAGAATTTTTATTGTTTTATATATATTTTATTATTTTATTGTTTCCCTTCAACGTGACTTTACCAAAAGAGCTAAGATTATGAATACAAACAAAACCTATAAACTCATAGGGGGTGGGCACTTTCCCACCAGCGGAACCACGCCGATAGCGCACCGCTTCCTGCGCAGTGTGCCCCGCGTGGATAACTGCGGGGCACCACGGTGGCAGAGATGTTAACTCCATCGCCTGGTATACAGGTGGTCGTGGGTTCGATCCCGACCCTGATGCCTGCTGTATATTTGGAGTTTTATCTGGGTTCTTAGGTTTTTCCCTCCACATTTAGAATCAACGTGCATTTAAAGTATTTAGCTGCTATACATTTCCACGCGCGAAGCCACTTTGTTGAGCTTCTGAAAAAAGAGCTTCTGAAAAAAGAGCTATATAGCTCATTGGACCTTACCTGGTAAAACAAAAAGTGTAGTTTTTAATTTAGATGAGGATACATTGAAGAGCTGAGCTCCTCCAGCTGTAAGACACAGACAGACAGAGACACAGACGGACTTTGTTTAAAAACCAACATGAGAGCTCGGCTACGGTAGGCAAGACCTGGGTGTCAGTTGCTGAGCTCAGGGCTCAAAGGGCCAAAAACGTCAAGTGATCAGTAACAAACGGCACCATAAAAGTTGTATTCGATAAGCAAGTAACATGTTTCTTGAATTGAACGTCGGTTATGGGGAAGAAGAGACGATGACGACTGGAGGAGGGAATTCCCGAGTGGAGCAGTGCGAGGGAAGAAGCAGAAAGACAAATGAGGTGACCTGCAGTGTGGTCAGTGAGTGGGTGGGTGAGTGAGTGAGTGGGTGAGTGAGTGGGTGGGTGAGTGGGTGGGTGAGTAAGTGAGTGGGTGAGTGAGTGGGTGAGTGAGTGGGTGGGTTGTGTGAATGGATGGGTGAGTGAGTGGTGTGTTGTTGTGACCTGCAGTGTGGTCAGTGAGTGGGTGGGTGAGTGAGTGGGTGGGTTGAGTGAATGGGTGGGTGAGTGAGTGGTGTGTTGTGGTGACCTGCAGTGTGGTGGTGGTTGAACACAGTATGGTGATGGATGAGATGGAACAGTCACAGTGTCTGTCAGAACGAGTCCTCAACACGGGTGGATGAGTCAACGAGTGAACTTCACGGGAACAGTAACCGTGGTGGTGGTAGTAGTGGCGACAGAAGAGTGACAAGGAGACTGACCACCGGTGAGTGAGCGCAGTGACCGGAGTGAATCAGCGAGTGCTGGATCATCCGCCACCCTGACCGCTGCTATGCCCTGAACTCTATCCGGTGGTGTCCCACCGCAGATCTGCAGTGAATAATAACACGCTATTGCTCAGCCATGTTACCGCCCACCGTCACCCCCCCCCCCCATAACTCCGAGGCCACAACCCCTCGGCCTGGGGGCGCCCCCCCTGACTCACGCACGGCCCCCTCACGTTGGACAGCAGCTGCTCGAGGTTGCGGCTGGCCACCCCCTTGCGCGCGTCCTCTGCCATTGCCTCGCTCTCCACGTCCAGGTCAAAGTGGAGGCGCGCGAGCCTCTCCTGGAGCTCGCGCACGTGCTCCATCTGCTCGAACGAGCACTCGCTCCCTGCTCACTCGCAAACACAGAGAGAGCTAGCCGCCCTGCCGGACAGTCTTTGACGATGATTCCCGTCATTGATGGAGCTGCTCTCCTTCACGTCTCAAGAGTGCTGCATACGCACGATAAGCGACTTAATAACATAGTAATGAATATTTATACAGCGTCGTTCATGCAAAACTACATCTCACGACGCTGTGCATGACGAAAAAGCAATCAAACAAAGGATATTGCGCCTATGAAGGATGACACAGAGCACGAGAAAAAGGTGTGGCCAGCATCATTCCCAGCCACCTTTGTCTCCTCAGTGCTGATGTTTTTTGATACTGCACCAGGTACCGGGTTCAAATAATCGTCACCGACGGTGGCCGTAAGCGGGAATCAAACTTGGGTCAACTTGGGCCCCAAAGAGGCCTGTGAATCAGCGGCCGGTTTGCTCAGTATCCCAGCGACGAGAACGACCCCTCCCTGCCTCGCCCACTCCCACCCACTCCGTACCGAAGGCCTGCAGCTTGCCGCAGTGGAAGTCGTTGAGGAGGTTAACGAGGCCGCGCTCCATCTCCCGCACCTCCGACACGTCCGTCAGGAACGAGTGCTGCTGCGTGGGTCCAGCCACGGCTGTCACCGGCCCCTTGGGTGGCGCGCCGGGGGCCACGGCGCTGGCCGTGGCGGTAGCGGGCATGGGGGCGCCGGCGCGGTGGTGGGCTGTGGCGGCGGAGGTGCGGGGCTTGGCCGCTCTGCTAGAGATGGCGATGGGCACGCAGACAAGGGGGAGTTACGGTAAACTCGTGGTATGGCTAAGGGGGATGGAACAGGTGTGCGAGTTGTGTGTGTGGGGACAGGTGAGTGTGTGTGTGGGACAGGTGAGGTGTGCGTCACCCCTTAGGCTTGGCGGTGTGTACACGATGTGCAAATAGTGTGTGCATGGTGTGTGTGTGTGTGGAGTGTGTGTGGAGTGTGTGTATAGTGTGTGTGAATCGCGTCTGTAAATAGAGGGTGTGTATAGTGTGTTTGGAGTGTGTAGTGTATTTGTGGAGTGGTTCGTCCACTAGGGGCGTTGGGGCGCCGCCCCACCATACAGCTGGAGATATTAAATTCTTCTTCTAATAAAAATACTTCTCTAAAAAGTATTTTGTTGTGTTTACATTTTTTAAATATAATGATTCTTTCAACGTGAATTGCCAAATGAAGATAACATTTTAATACTTCACCTGATGAAGGCCACTTGTGTTGTGGCCGAAACATCGTGATTTTTGTTGTTGTATTTTTTACCTACGTGACTTTACCGAATAGAACCAAAGAGTATGGATCCTTGCAGTCACGAAAGCTTCAAATCTAGAATAACATTTTAAGTTGTTAATATTAAAAACCGCTGCAACACAGTCTGATTTGTGCCTCAGGGAGATTTTGGGGCGGCTGTGAAGGCGTCCGACTGAGAGATATCCCTTCATTCATTGCGATTAGCTTCGAATTTTAGCCACGCCGTTTGAGACCCATTCAGAGTGGTGAAAAAGGCACCCATGGCTGTAATGACTATGTCACAACGCAGGTTGCACTGTGCAAATATAGCAGGTCACGGCCTACACGCTCTAGGCTTTTGGGAGTGTCAAAAGGGTTTTGTAGTGTGGACTTGAGGGTCATGAGGACAGCATTTGGTTGTTTTGTTTCGACTTGTTTATAAAGCTTACCGTTGGTAGATGAGGTTTTTATAAATTAGAACACTATCTTTCAGAGGTCACTCACAACAGTTCCACCTAGTGGAAATGTCACGAGCCGCCACTGGTGTATCGTGTGTATAATGTGTGTGTTTAGTGTGTATGTATAGTTTATAGTGTGTGTGTAAAGTGTGTGCATAGTGTGTGTATGTATAGTGTGTACAGTGTATCTGTGTATAGTCTGTGTGTTGTGTGTATGAAGTGTTTATACTGTAATTTTTTACTTAAAACTTTCGTGACTGCAGGAATTAATATTCTATGGTTCCGATTTAAAGCTTTCGTGACTGCAAGGATTCATCTTCTTTGGTGCTTTCGGTAAAGTCACGTAGCATGAGAATAAAATAATAAATTGATAAAATAAAATAACACAATAATATTCTCACGACGTTTCGGCCACAACACAAGCGGCCTTCATCAGGTGAGGGGACGAGACTGTCTGGAGGACAGCGCTGGAGTGAAAAAGCCACGCTCAGATCACGACCTTTAAGCTGTGTGAGAAGAAATAAAGCGCCTTGACAAAGGAATTAGCATATAATTTAGCATTGAAATGGCTGAGTGAATAGCTTGTGACTGGTCACAGAAATGGCTATGTTAAAGTTAAAGCATACACATCCGCAAAGGCACCCCTTGACAAAGGAATTAGCATAGAATTTAGCATTGAAATAGCTAAGTTAAAGTATACACATCCGCAGAGGCACCCCTTGACAAAGGAATTAGCATAGAATTTAGCATTGAAATAGCTGAGTGATTAGCTTGTAACTGGTCAGAGAAATAGCTATGTTAAAGTCAGAGCATATACATTCACCGAGGCACCTAGTACAAATCAAACAGGAGAATTTAGCATTGAAATAACTAGGCGAATTTAGCATTGAAATAACTGAGTCATTAGCTTGTGACTGGTCACAGAAATGGCGATGTTGAAGTCAAGGCCTACACATTTGAGCTATTCACAGTAACTGGGTATACAATACAATATATAATGAATACTAAATAGTGAACCAATAAAAAAAACTAAAATATAAATTACCTCAATGTTATCAATAAACTCTATATTCTCCAATCAGCTAAGCTACCAATAATAAGTCGTTATATATCACAATGCTATATGGCGAAAAAAAATGGGTGGATTCTTACCCTCAACTTTAGCAACACGGATAGCTACGGGCCCTGTTCAGACGGACGAGTTCATCCATGGTCGGAACAGAGGAGGGGGAGAGAGACAGCTGCGAGGTGCTGTTATACTCCATGTTGTAAACCATACCATTAACCGTGGTGTGAGAGGTATTAAGAGTCAATGCCAGCGAAAGAGCTGCGGTCTTAGATGCCCCCCCCCCCTCTCTCTCTGCCCCCCTCTCTCTCTATTTAAGGCCTCAACACAGAGGCGTTGATTCTCTGTGTGCCTATGTGTGTGTCTCTCTCTTTTGATCAACCATGTTATATATGCCCATAATCTGGTAATTGCTGCTCACTCAGAGGAGTTGGATGTGCTGCTGCTGAACCTGGAGTGTGCCACGAAGAGGTGGGGCCTTGCCATCAGCCCCACCAAAACTAAGCACCTGCCTGGGTATTTTGTAACATCAGACACTCCACGCCCACAACTCCCAATTGGTGATGGGGCAGTTGTGAAGAGAGGAGAGTTTCCCATACCTGGGAAGTGTGCTCATAATCGGCTCCGGTTTAACAGAGGTCTCACTCCGAATCAGTCAAGCGGCATTATCTTTTCATCAGTTGCATAACGCTCTGTGGAAGCTAACTGGTCTGTCACTCCACACGAAGGTTCAGGTCTTCTCGGCCACAGTCATGCTCTCCCTTCTCTAACCTTTACGGCTGGCCTGCCCACGACCCATCCTGGGTTTAACCAGGCTGGATTGGGAGGAGCTCACAAATCCTTCAAAGATCTTGACAAAGTCCAATCGGTGCCCTCCTTCAGCAGGCAAGGCTGGATTGGCTGGGTCATGTAGCCCGCATGCCCAGTCACCGCATGCCTAAACAGCTTTTGTTCGGCCAGATAGAGGGGGCTAAATGGGCGCGGCATGGGCTAGAGAAGAGATGGAGTGATGTGGTACAAGAGGATGTGGAGCTGAGTGGACTTGCCAATGACAGTACCAGCGGTGTCAAGATCGGCCTCTGTGGATGAGGCTCGTGAAGGACACTACTGGGCAAATGGCGGCAGTCGCCCTCCAACAACAACTGAGTGCAGAGGAGTGACGCTCACAACAACGAGCGGAGTGCCGGGTGGCTAAAACACAGCAAGTTGGCACAGTAGGGGGCACAGGTGGTGCATCGGCCAGTGATCTCAATCAGTCGACCCATGGCACCTGGGTCTGCACCGTGACCTCCGGCCAACGGGCGTTCGACACTTCAGGTGGCCTCAACGAGCACATAGCTTGGCACAAGCGCTACGGAGACATCACCGCCACTTAGTGTCGAATGGTGGTTGTTATTTTATAGTGTGTGTAGTGTGTATAGTGTGTGTATTGTGAGTAAATAGTGTGAGTAGTGTGTATAGTGTGTGTGTAGTGTGTACAGTGTGTGTGTAGTGTGTACATAGTGTGTGTAGTGTGTTTAGTGTGTGTATAGTGTGTATAGTGAGTGTGTGCAGTGTGTATCGTGAGTGAATGTGTATAGTGAGTGTGTATAGTGTGTATAGTGAGTGTTTGCAGTGTGTATAGTGAGTGTGTGTAGTGTGTATAGTGTGTATAGTGTGTGCAAGTGTGTATAGTGTGTGCAAGTGTGTATAGTGAGTATGTATAGTGTGTATAGTGAATGTGTGTAGTGTGTATAGTGAGTGTGTGTAGTGTGTATAGTGAGTGTGTGTAGTGTGTATAGTGAGTATGTATAGTGTGTATAGTGTGTGTAGTGTGTATAGTTAGTGTGTATAGTGAGTGTGTGTAGTGTGTATAGTGAGTGTGTGTAGTGTGTATAGTGAGTGTGTGTAGTGTGTATAGTGTGTATAGTGAGTGTGTGCAGTGTGTATAGTGAGTGAGTGTGTATAGTGAGTGCGTATGTATAGTGTGTGTAGTGTGTATAGTGAGTGAGTATGTATAGTGTGTGTATAGTGTGTATAGTGAGTGTGTGTAGTGTGTGTGTAGTATGTATAGTGCAGTGGTTCTTAACCTTGTTGGAGGTACCGAACCCCACCAGTTTCATATGCGCATTCACCGAACCCCTCTTTAGTGAAAAATAAAATGTTATTTTTTTCAAATTCAAGACATAGATATGTTTTTTACAGGTACACAAAATGAGCCGTGCATGAACATTACCTTGTTCAAAGAATAAAACCAACACAATGCATAAACTCACAACAAATTACATACCTGGAAATCAATGTGACTTCTGCTGTTGCCTTTGAGAGATCAGTTCAGATATGCGTGGCTTCACCTTGGCAAGTGCCACTCTCATGTCATTTTCACAGCAAAGTCTGTTCCTTTTCTTCGTTTTTATGTCCAGCATCCTCGAAAAGGATTGCTCACAAAGATATGTTGTAACAAATGGTATAAACAAATCCAGGGCTTTCTTAGCAATAACTGGATACTTGTTCATTTGTCGACACCAAAACGTTGAGAGCGTTGTTGTTCTGAAGAGTTGCTGTTGAACCTGGCTCTGCTGAATTTCAATGATTTCGTCGAGGAATTCATCATTGACATCTGCTGTTTCAACAGCAAACGTGAACGGCTGTCTCACCCATGCTGGATATGACTCTCTTGTAGGGAAATATCCGTCGAGAGACTTTGCAAGCTCATCTAAGTGCGTGGCAATTGTTTGCTTCAGTTCCGTGGATACAGAAATATCTCCGATTCCAGACACATCTTCGATCTTACTTGCACAGTCGTCCAGAAGCGGGAAGTTTGCGAAGTTACTGTTCTCTGTTCGTCGTTTCCATAACGGTAGCTTTTTTTGAAAAGCCTTCAGGTGTTCTTCCGCTTCCATGATATTGACTCCACCACCCTGCATCTGCTGATTGAGATGATTGAGAGCTGCGAATATATCAGCCATGTACGCTAAAATGAGAATGAACTCAGGAT